GACACCTAATCTGTGAAGGGAGTTAAATCTGCATCTCCCTAAGTCTAACCCTTGTCTAAACTTTACCCACTGTGGACTAAACAATTCTAAGAATAACCTTTAAAAGTTTATACCAGCAAAGCCACATAAAAATACTCTCTGGCTTTGCTGGAATAAAGATTACCTTTAAAAGAAAACTGCTTTCCCGGGACAGCAACTTGTGCACTTTTATTACATACTTGAGGTAGAAAGAATGCTAAAGAATCTTTTTTGAGTTTTCAGAATTTGGTGGCAGGATTCTTCCCCAATCCATGTTAGATGTGACTAACTTGATACCAACAATTGGAGTAATTGAATAATGAAATCAGTCTACAATCTCAACTTGGGGACTTTTAGTTTTTTAATAACACTATACAAACATACAACCAACAGGGAAATAAAGATAAATGTGATTGCATAGTGAAGGTGGGGGAAAACTAGACATTATTGTGGTGATTACTAAATGTGACCCCCACACACACACCCCAAAAAAAGCTTATTAACAAAAAATAAGGTGGTAAACGATCCGGCCCTTTGAAACATCTTTCCCCCTGAGGAGAGACTGGCTTCTCCTGACCTTCCCCAAGGAGCCTGAAGATCCAGCAGTGCCAGCTGGCTTGAGGCTCCGATGTGGGAAGCACCACGCTGGGCTTGGTTGATACACTAATAGCAACTCTTCCCTCCCTCCCTCCGTACATTCTGCTCCTTTCCTCCCCATCTTTTAGTTTTAGTTATAATTTGTATGTTGTGATATATGTATGTATGTATAGTTTTGTTTTAATGCTGTAAGACACCTAGAGTCACCTTGTAGCATGATGGGCAGCAAACAAATTTAATAAATAAATAATCAAAAGAAATAAAAAGCTCTATAATTTAACCCATAAGCTTATCAGTGGTGAGGCTGACTTTCAATTACATTAAAGAGGCTCAAAATATATATATCTCTCTCTCTCACACACACACACACATTTGATTTGATATTGATATAGGTACACAAATGTTAAACTGCAACTTGCTATAAGAACTAAATTGCAACATATTTACATGTGGCTTATTTATTTCTAATTTTCTGGATATTAATTTTATTATTCCATTCTATTTTGTATTTTCCTCACATCAAGCATTCTCAAAGTGTGTGTTTTCCTAAGAAAACATGAGCAAATCTGAAGAGGTTCTGCATGTAAATGAAGATCAAAGCCACAACTTGGCTTTTCCTTCTGCTTGTGCAAACTGGTTATCAGCCTCTCCAAGCCATCAAGGAGGAAAGCCCAGAGCAGGGCTTCAGCTTGTAGCTGCAAGTCCTAATGGCTTATGCGCCCAAAGCCAGTGTCCCATCAGAACGGGTCCCTTTCTGCCTGGACAAAGCCAAGATTTCCGACAGCTGCCCCTATAAACAGCAAATATCAATTATTTTTAAAAAGATGGAATGAAAAACTAGAACAGCTATCTCAAAAGTATAACTTGAAGCTGACTGAGGAATTCTGGGAGGTGAAATCCACAAGTCTTAAAGTTGCTAAGGTTGGAGACCCCTGATCTAGTCTATTTTTAAAAATCTCTAGTTAATGGAGCACCCACAACCTTGAAAGATTGATTAATTTATCTCATCATTAGAAAATTTCTGTCAGAAAGCAATGATTTTAAATTGATTGATTTGATATAATTGAAACAATGATGGAATCTCTCAACTTTTTAAATCAAACATTTTATCTAGAAATAAGCAATAAGGATGGTAAAATTTAATTATTAAAAGTAAGCCTGGTTTATTTTTTGCCCAACTTCAAAATCAACACCATCATTTTTATTTATGGAAGTCGCACACATTCAATTATCACTTTAGTCCATCCTACCCACAAACTTTAAATTATTTTAATGGTAAGTGCTATTAGATTTGACATGCTGCAGATGGCAGCAAAATCATATCTTAGTATCTCAAAATTACAAATTCACATTCCTACTGTTGCCAAAGAACTAATAACTGTGAAGACATTAAGGAATTGATGTTGACACAAATCGTTGTAGCTGCTAGTTATCTTTGGGGTCCCAAAGAAGCATCTGTAGCATTATAAAAGTAGGAATACCAACCCATTTCCCACTGTTTTTAGTAGGCTTAACAAGCAACAGTTTACAATAAGATGTAGCTGGCTCCAATTCTGCTCACTTTAAGAACATAGGATCATAGGTTTGGAAGAAACATTGGAGGTCTTCTAGTCCAGGGGTTCCCAACCCCCAGTCCGTCGACTAGTACTGGGCTATGGCATGCTAGAAACCAGACAGGGCAAAAAAGCGAAGCCCCGTCCATGGGATGCAGGCAGCACACAAAACCACACCCCTCCAGTCTGTAGAAAATCTCTCCATAGAACCAGCTCCTGGTGCTCCAAAAGGTTGGGGGCCGTAGTCCTAATCCAATCCCCTTTTACCATCCCAGTCAAACGGTTGTCTAGTCCAGGGTCTCCAACCTTGGCAACTTTAAGACTTGTGGACTTCAACTCCCAGAGTTGAAGCTGGCTGAGGAATTCTGGGAGTTGAAGTCCACAAGTCTTAAAGATGCTAAGGTTGGAGACCCCTGATCTAGTCTATTTTTAAAAATCTCTAGTAATGGAGCGCCCACAACCTTGAAAGATTGATTAATTTATCTCATCATTAGAAAATTTCTGTCAGAAAATTTCTCCTTACTTCTCTCTTTAACAAGCCTCCACCCATTATTTCTTGTCCTGCCCTCTGGTGCTTTGGAGAATAAGTCAAACCCCTCTTCTCTGTGATGGTATTGAAAGACAGTGATCATGTCCTCCCCAATCCTTCTCTCCAATACACTAGTCATACCTAGCTCTCTCAGCCATACATCATTCAATTAAATCACCAGACCCTTTATCATCTTTGTTGCTCTTCTCTGCAAACTTTCCAGGGTCTCAATATTTGCTAAACTGGGATGTCTCCCTCAATTAATAGGGAATTTTTGGACAAGTCAAAGCAACACATTCCTTTAAATGCCTCACATCCGTGGTTGTGCCTTAAGAGCAGATAGTCCATGGCAGCCCTATTTTCCAATGTGGCTGTATAAACTTGCCTGAGTTCATGATTCAGGCCAGCCAACCAGGGCTTGTGAGATGGCATTCAGGCTCTTGGCAGTGATTCAAACCAGGCTCCTAACATTGTGAGTGTTGCAAGTGGCTAATCTTATGACACTTACCAGGGAGATGGCAAGGGAGACATATTCTGCTTTGTTTAGTAGAATGGTGTGGGAGTCACAGTCGAGAGCTAGAGGTTGGAGGTCCCTTTTCTTCTGGTTTTGGATGTTATTTCATCTTTCTTGTAGGCAAATTTAGTCTCTCCAGTGGATTCAGTAAACCTTCATGAGATTCTAGCTTCAGTGCACCATCATTCAGATATTCTTCCAATGTTATTTTTTCTTCCACTATGTGGTATACGTGCAACATTCCACATCCATCTATTTTCCTCATCAAGGAAATAGTTTGTCAATGTCAGTGCATGAATGAAGGGCATGAATCATTGTCATTATTTTTCTGGACTTCCCATCCAGGATTTTTAGTTCTGCTTGAGTCCAGCCCACATTCTAGCTGTATATCTAAAGACTTGAAGGTGTTAATAATTATTATTAACATCTTAATTATTATTGCTGGCCACATAATTAGCCAGATATTTAGACTGGAATTGGCATTTTTATCCATCTATCAAGATAGTTGGGTGGCCTTATGAATTTTTACAACTAAACACACTTCAGATCTTATTTAATTATTACCTTTGTTATGTATTAGATTTGTAACAGGAGAATTAATGAAGGAAAGCAAATGATCAGACTTAGTATATGGCACAGGGCCATGTTATATAGGATCATAGAAACCTTGGGCTGGAAGGAACCTTGGAGGTCTTCTAGTCCTTTTCTGTTAAACTGCTTTTCCCTAAGGACATCTGCCCATCCTACCAGGTCAGATAGAGTGGGCACACCCCTAGTCCCTTCCCCTAAATATTGTTGTCTGGCAGCCTGTCCTATGGAACATGCCCTGAAGTTGAGCAGGCCTTTACCCTCTTGGTCTTTTGTAAAGCTTTGAAGACCTGGAATTTCCCCCCAAGATTAGATAATTGCACATTAGAAGATTGACTTGGCACCAGATCTTTGTTGCCTTTAAGGTTTCAGTCTGTTCAATGTTATAGTTTTAGTATGATTTTATATGTTGTTTTAACTCTTGATTGGGAGCCACTCAGAATTGGTTAGAAAATGGACAGCTATATAAATGTTTTAAACAAACAAACAAGCAAACAAAATTGCACTAAAAGATAAATCATTTAGCTTTATCTTTCAGGCCAGAAAAGTGTTTACTCATACAATTTTGGCATGTAAAATTGCAGATTCAAAGCAGCCTTGCCAAGCCTTGGGAAGCATCTGCCAAAAAATCCTAGGGAAAGCCACTGCCTGTCATTCAGATCACTTAGGATCCAATGAACAGTGAACTGACCAGTCACTTGATTCTGTATAAAGCTTCTTTTCGTCATATTTTTCATCAATGGGTGAAATTCAACCCAAATGAGATTTCCCCCCTCCCTTTTTTTTTTGGTCTCTTTTAGTGTATTCACTTCCTGATAGTTCTATCACAAAAAGGTAGGTTAGTTTTCTAATGCTAGTGACAGCATAAACAATGGAATACTAACATTCGATGTTCCCCTGTTATTTGTCCTCTGCCCCTGCACAGAGTCCTCACTGGCAACTGTTTGCTCATCAAACAAAATGCAATGACTGTGTAAATGATCCAAAAGCTTCAGAGTGAATTCTTCATGACCTTTCTATAGTTGAAGACTTGGTAGGGCACACAGTACATTTTGTTTGTGCAAGTTGGAAAAAGTTTCCAACTCCATCTCCTTTAAAACAGGTTCCCCACAGGGCTGTGTCCTGAGTCCATTACTGTTCACCTTGATGACCCACGACTGCAGTGGCAAATCTGCTACAAATCATATTGTGAAGTATGCGGATGACACAGCAGTGGATGACAATCCAGGATGACAATGAAAATGCTTATAGAGTAGCGGTGAAGACTCTGGTGGACTGGTGCAATAAAAGTAACCTGGTTCTAAATGTTAATAAAACAAAGGAGATCCTCATAGATTTTAGAAAGAGCTGGCATAGTCATACTCCACTCAGTATCAAGGATGCAGCTTGAGATGGTCAACAGTATTAAGTATCTGGGGGTGCAGATGTCTGAACTGGTCTCTCCACATCCTTAGTGAAGCATGAAAACCAGCTCCTGCATTTCCTGCTTTGGATGAGGAGAGCATATTTATTTATTTATTTATTTTTGTCAATTGCTTACAAGATAATAGGTATAAGTAAAAACATAGTTATGAATACATGGATACACGTAAGAAAAATAAAAATAAAATAAAAGAAACAATAGGACAGGGACAGTAGGCACCTTGGTGCGCTTATGCAAGCCTCCTACAGACCTCTTAGGAAAGGGAAAATCTTCTCTCCATGGAACCAGCTCCTGGTGCTCCAAAATAGTAGAAAGACTAATAGTAGAAAGTCAATAGTAGAAAGTCTAGTAGGTCAATAGTAGAAAATCTAAGGTTAAAGCTTTTGGGGTTTGGGGAAGAAACCACAGAGTCAGGTAGAGTATTCCAGACATTGACCACTCTGTTTTTGAAGTCATATTTCCTGCAATCAAGTTTGGTGCGATTAACCTTGAGTTTGTATCTATTGTGTGCTCTTGTGTTGTTATGGTTGAAGCTGAAGTATTCATTGACTGGTAGGACATTGCAATGTATGGTTTTATATACTATACTTAGATCGGACTGAAAGGCGGCGTAGTTCTAGGTTTTCTAGGTCTAGAATTTTGAGTCTGGTGGCATAAGGTATTCTGCAACGAGTAGAGGAGTGGAGAACTCTTCTTGTGAAATATTTCTGGACCTTCTCAACTGTGTTAATATCAGATACGTAATGTGGGTTCCAAACTGATGAGCTGTATTTGAGTATTGGTCTAGCAAATGTTTTGTATGCTCTGGTTAGTAGTGTAATATTACCGGAGAAATAGCTACGTAAGATTAGGTTAACAACTCTCAATGCCTTTTTGGCTATGTAATTACAGTGGGCTCTAGCACTTAGATCATTAGAGATGAGTACTCCAAGGTCCTTTACAGAGTTTGGATCATCAACAAGATCTTGACTATTCAGCCTGTATTTTATTTTCTGATATATATTTTTTTGCCAATATGTAGGACAGAGCATTTATTTGTTGAGATTTGAAACTGCCATTTGTTTGACCATTCTGATACATAATCAAGGTCTTTTTGAAGGGTAGCAGTATTGTCTGTGGTGTTGAATAGCTTTACATCATCAGCGAGGAAAACGCAGTTTCTCTTGATATGATCACAGAGGTCATTTATGTAGAGTATGAAAAGAGTTGGTCCTAGAACACTGCCTTGGGGGACACCACTGTTGACAGGTACAGAATTTGATAGGACGCTCCCAATTTTGACCATTTGTTGTCTGTTTGACAGGAATGCTTCTATCCAGTTATGCAGGTGTCCAGATATACTGTAAGATTTTAGTTTTAGGAGTAGTTTGTCATGTACCACTGAATCAAAGGCTTTACAGAAGTCTATGTAGATTGCGTCTATTGCTTTGCCCTGATCGAGTTGTGTAGTCCATATGTTTTTGCAGTGTAAGAGTTGCAGATTACAGGATAGTTTTTTTCCTGAAACCAAATTGTTTATTAGAGAGTAGATTGTTTGTTTCTTAGTGGAGGATGATGGATTGGTTAATAATAGATTCCATGACTTTACAGGTGATGCAGCATAAAGAGATTGGTCTGTAATTTTCAACTAGGCTTTTTGTTCTCCTTCTGTCCTGGCCATTTTTTACAGAGGCATGACTGAGAGTGTTTTAACAAACTGCATCACTGTTTAGTTTGGCGGCTGCAGTGCCTCAGAGAGAAAGTCCCTACAGAGAGTGGTAAGGTCAGCCAAGATAATAGGAAGCTCACTTCCTGTCATTCAGGATACTGCTTATAAGCCGAGATAATAGGAAGCTCACTTCCTGTCATTCAGGATACTGCTTATAAGTACTATGTGCTTAGAGCTCAAAGCATTGTTAGAGACCCCACGCACCCACTTCACGGTCTGTTTCTGTTGCTCTCCTATGGGAGAGGTTTCAAAGTATTTCTAGCAGGACTACCAAATTCTGTAAAGTTTTGTCCCCTATGCCATCCATCTGGTGAACTTGCAAGATTCGTTTTTCTCACCATGTATATGTATACATCAGGACATGTTGTTTCTCTGTGTCATGTAATATATGTGGGTATATGCATAATTTTGTATTTATTTATTTTGTCATGCTCCATGTACACTGGAGGTGGTGACCCTTTGACAGCTGCATGCAACAAAATTTCATTTTAATGTATGCCGATTATATACATGACAATAAAGTTATTCTGATGACATAGACTGATGAGTGACATGCTGCTTGGTTACTTAATCACCCATTTCCAATGCAGAAATTATCCTATGCAGATTATGGTAACAGGGACCACCAACCCCTTGGCATTTTGTGAGCATCAAATCATAAACTAGCTGTTTGACCTTTTGATAAAGGTTGTAAACTCCACCAGTGCTAAACTTAGTCCCTAGGTTGTTCTGTAATGCAGGGAATACCGGTTGGGTGATAGGAATCAACTTACATCCTGAGCCAGATAAGCTTTCTCCAGAATCCCTTGGAATCTACTACCCTCCACTTGCTTCTCCTCAGCAGCTCCTCAGCTGTTTTCTCTCCATTTTCCATATAGCACAAGAAATAATTGAGTTTCTATTATCATGGCTAAAATATTCAAGTAATCATTCGTTTAAAAAGACCTTTCAGGTTATTCTCCCATTGCTCAGAATCCTGCGTATAGGCACATAAGTAAGAAATTGACTAGATATTATGTGACTGGAAATTTTTAAAATGAAGGCCTTAATTTTTGCTAGCATGGTTTCATCTATTTTTAATGATAAATTTGATGATTTAGAATTCTCAAATAACATCACTGAGCAAAATCATTACTACATGTCATTTTCAAGTGAAGTACTCTTTTAAAGAGGGGTTATAAATGCCCATGATTCAAATCTATGAACACAGGCCTCACTGCATCCACATCAAATATATAAACACTGAACAACATTATCCCGGTGTACCTTAAAGTCTAAAATGTACCATTTCACATTTTATCAATGCTCATTGGCCTTGGTAAGTATCAAATAGCTTAATCCTTATACAGTTAAGATGACATCTGATCTGCAGTGCAGGCATTTATCCGAGTACCCAGAGGGTAAATAAGTAGTCCAGTTGGAGATGAATCACATTCAATTCCCTCCCTCCTGAGAACTGCTAAGTACCATTTTGAAATCAGTTATAATATGGCCCAAACAGGTCATATATAGCTCACAGAGGTGGAGATTTACTTTCTCCTATCTCTAATCTGCAAACCCATTTATAGTTGTGCACATTTCACAACAGCAGTGTATCACTATTTTTAAATTAAATATTTATATTTAATTTTGAATTATTATTAGTATTTAATTAAACATTATGAATATTAAATTAAATATTTTGAACTAGTGTTGCATATGGCAACTGTTTCCAGGATGCATACAACTTGATCTGAGGAAGAATGGCAAACAAAGTTGTAGAAAGGACAACTCAGTGTCCAAAATGTTTTATTTCAAAAGAAAACCTGATAATTTACAACGCTATATATGACTTTGCACCATATATGAAATATGGGTTTATCTTAACAACTTAACATTCTTGCAGTAAATATTTGTTAAATCCTAGTAGATCTTTAGTAGCTTAAATATAATTTATTGTAACTTTTTACTCTTAATTTAAGATTAGTTTTCAAAAGATATTAAGTTAAAATTAATGAAATATTGAAAATTGTGACCTAACTCCATAGTGCTTCTAAATTCCCTGTTTATTCACTAAATTTATTTTTCCCTTTCCTAAAAAATATTTAATGGACATGTAATAAAAATTAATGTATTACCAGGAGAAACTTTGGCTTCTACTCATTTTGCTTGTTTGCTTTGAGGCATAATTCCCAGTGATTTGCTAGAGGGATACTCCTACCACTTACTCCTGCTTAACATAAAACATGCCTGCATCCCCCCATAGTACGATTTCTTATCGCAGCAATATACTTTCTTGGGCTATGGACTGCCGGAGGCTGCTAAGGCAATATCCATGGCCTTTGTAGCCAACTCTAATTGTATTGTGCAAAGGGGGCAAGAGTGCAGATTCAATTGATCCGCGCAGCCCAATGCAACGAGAAGGCGGGATTTCCGCTGTCACGTTCCTCCAGTAGAATTCTAGGAGGAACTTCAGTGTTTTTTTCCTTATTAGACATGCTGCTCACGCTGAAGTAGCGAAAAGGCTGGAGAAGGGAGGGACTTTGTTGGATCAATGAGTAGCCTTTGCTGGAGGAATGCAAAAAACCAGCAAGAAAAGGCCTCCGTTGGGGGGGAGGGAGAGTTGTCCTGAATAAACATGAGTAGAAGTACATTGCAATGACCATAATTAATCTGCAACTCATAAATTTATCTAGGATTTATATGGGCTGAACTATTCTCCCAAAGGTTCTTTGAAATACACATTTGCTTCTAAACACAGTAACTTTGTATTTCATGATTGAGTGTTTCCTAGGCATGTGAGGAAACAAATGAAACAAAATGTAACAGATGGCCTGATACAAGTTGTTACACTAATTTGCCTAATAATGCAACCCTTATGCAGTTACATGGAACACTTACCCAGGGCTTCTGCATTGGGCCGCTTTTTAAGAGTGCTTTCTGCAGAAGTAATTTTTAGCACAGTTATAAATATATCTCCTCTTGTGAGATATACCAAAATGCAGCGTGGGGATGTAAGAGCCTCCTTCTGATAACAGATTATGCCTTGACTTGTAAAGCCAGGGCAATTCTTTTGTTTTGGGATGGGGGAAAGAGTTGGAGGGAAGGATATTCTTTTCAACTTATAATGGGTCTGTCTTGGAAGACTTATGTTTCACCTCTAACTCTGTTACTATTTCAATTATGGCACACACATTTCCTCTTTGGGCTGGGCGGGGGAAAAAGGAAAAGAGATGCAACTGAAGTAATTTTGTGGTTTTTCCTACTAATCTCAGTGCAAGTAATTTTTGCAGAATTGTGCAGGGTTACAAGGCAGGTTGATTCCAATAATGAGCTAAATTACGTTGGTGAAATTACAGAATCAGAACTCTGATATCCTTCATGATTTTTCTGCACATAATACTCAGATCTAGAACAATCAAATGGTAACCAGGTATAAGCAATCAGCCAAAATGTACATGATTTAGCTTAGCCTATCACTTTACTAAAAATGGTTTATGGCTTAGATATGGGCTGTGTGAATTCAGCCATTCTGTGTTTTGAGATATTGTCCTTATACTTAAAAAAAAGGTCTTGAACCATCCATTCCCAATGCAACTGCATCTTTCCAGTTGTCTGAACTTTCCTGAGATTCAGTGATTTTGGAAGAAGCCCCAACATTTGGCTGCTAAAGATTTGCAAGCGAGAATTGATTCACAGTATTTTGATCTGTATGCCTTATTTCATTGCTTGTTTCATGAATCATTTTTTTGGGGGGGGGGGGGAATGATACATATCAAATCATGTTCCATAAAGGTTTACTCTAGTTATTACTGCAATTATTTAGAGTCAGACATTCCTAAGAATCTTGTGGGTTGTAGATTGTAGACTGATTTTTGCATTAAACTGCTTCTGAATATGTGGGTTCTGTTTTACGGTCACAGCTAATACAGGGATTGAACTATTGTATGAGAACAATGTTTCTTCTAATCCCAACATTCTCTCAATAGCGGTTGACTGAGTTAACAAGCAGACCATGAAAGAATGTGATTTCTTTCGTGCTAGTTTTCCTAAGCCATACTCACAGAACAAGCTGGGCTGTAATGGCTTTGGTTCCTGACTATATATTGTGTTAACTCAATCAATAGTGGGTTACAATACTTACTAGTTACATTCAAACCACGACTTAATGGATTGCATGAATCTGGTGATAACATGACTCGTCTTTTGAGCCTGGCAAACGCACAAGGTTTAGGAAGCCGCTTGGATTCCAAAGCACTTTGTCGAGATTGCAAAATCCCGCAGGTGCCATGAAGTAAGTAATTGATAAATAAATCATCTGCCGCCCTAGCCAAAATGATCCATTTGCCATGGCGATTCGGGTCAAACAAGCGTTCTTGGGAGTTGGGGAGGCCACCGAGCGAAGAAAGATGAGGAATCGTGGCGAGGGAGAACAAAGAGTCTTTCTCCGAGCCGGATGGAAAGCAGGGCGGGAGGGAGGGAAATGACGCCGGGCTTGGGGATCTCCACTCCCGACATTAGCCTCCCCTCCGCCGCCCCCTCGCGCTCTGATTCGGTGTTGGCGCCGAAGGTCAGGCCTCGTCATTACCATACTGGCCTGTATAAAGGGTAGAGCCGAGGGGGCCTGCCTTCTCACCTCCTCACTGCAACTGCGGAGCTGAGTAAGGTCAGGACCTCTCGGGTAAGCGCTCCCTTTCAACCGGGGGTGGAGGGGTGGGTGGGTGGAGGCAGCTCCTGGTATTGCAACCTTGCTGGGCGGTGGGCTCGAAAGATGCAAGCCAAGAACGCTGTGGTGAGGGGAGCCGCCCGAGTACCGTCCCATGCAAAAAGAGCCGGCTTCGGCCTCGTTGCTGTGGGCCGGCTGGGAAGGGGGGCGTTTATAGATCGTAGTCGGTACCGGGCGTGACTGAAGTGGAACTGTAATCTTGCATTGCGCGGGGTGGGAGCGGCAGCCGCGGAACAAGGATACACGACTGTTGCGGGCAGGGCGGGAACAAAGTTTCGAGAAAGT